TTTAATTGATAGTGTTGTTTTTTAATATTTTTGTTTAGTTTTTTTTATCTCTTAAAAAACAACAAGAACAACAGCACGTTATTGTCGACACGTTGTATCGGTTGTGTTGCCAATCATCCACTCATGGCAATGAGTGTTTACTCATCAAGCCACGTCTTACACTTGATCCCCGAACAGCACAACCAATGGTAATAGTCTCCAGTTCAACAAACACTCCAAGGTTCGTTACAATATATAAGTTTAATATGCCTCTTCAACGTGACAATCAGTGCACTTCACTATACAGCTTGTAAACGTTCAACTTCACAATCTATCTAGTTGAAGTCCCCTCACACATATAAACATCACACAAGAAGATATGTCCTGACAATGCATAACGGCCATCTCTGTTTTCCAACAACACTAAAACTAACGCGTCACTTCCCATTACACAATTACATCACAACACTCTCACACAAACGATACAGCAACACGTAAAATCTCTAACTCAACATTATTTCCCTATCAAACATGACAACAATGATCTACACATAACAACAGGGATTCTTATACCCTTGACAGTTATTACATCCCATGTAAATTTACTCCCAAAGGCAACCATTTGTTTTGTACTCTTGCACTTGCTAAGCTGCTAATGCATTTATTCTCTAGTGCAAGCTTTTCTTTTTTTTTTTTCGTGTTTCAACCACTTCTAAAATGTTCGTCCGAATCAATGTGTTGAAACACCTAAACACTGGGCAGATTTATGACAATAACACGCGAGCGATGATATTTAACAAAAATTCGACATGATCTATGCCATTGTTACGCACTGGCTTCTAATGTGAGAAATTAATAACTTGTTTTACGATAGAGAAATACAATAATGAAGATAAGACACGCAAAAACAGTTGCCAATTACAATTAATAAGAAAAAAGAAAAATAATTACTAATCATCAACTAACAGAGTATGGAGAAATCTTGTACCGGTACAAAATTAGTACAATATGCAACTTAATAATGCTGAATGATTAATGCGAAATAAACACATGAGCACACAAAGGGTAATACAATTGTCTCGTAAAGTTAATAATATCTATCTGAATCTCTCTCCCTCTCTCCGAAACCCTTTATTTATATTGTGAGTCTACCGACGCGTCCAGAAACGCCTTTATTTTTCTAATACAATCGCGAACATTCCACAAAACACCATTGAGAATAACAACAATATCAGGTTAGGTTCGGAAAAAATCAATTCAATGGAGATGATTGAATCTTTGTTTAAAGACGTCTTGGGCGTAGACCTAATGCTCTTGGCAAATAACGTCTATAACATGATATGTCCTTAGTCAGTGGTTCTCAACGTGGGCGATATCCTTATTTAGTGGAGGTGGTGAGAGGCAGGGCACGAAAAAAAACAACAACTTAACATTGCGATGGCAACCAAGATTTCACTTGGGAGCCAAAAAGATCGATCTTTAAAAAGTATTTTTTATAAAAATAAATGTTAATTTGTCATTTTCATTAAATTTGTTATTTAACTCAATTGATTAAGAATAATTGCGCCACTATAAATTTAGGTTCACCATTAACAGTACATTTAACACATCATATCTTACATTTATATACACTTGATTTCTTAAATAAATGATCAATGATCTTCGTTTGTTACATATATATGTATAAACATTATAAACATATGGCTATTTTTCTGCAGGCTGCTTGAGTCGAAAATGTTTTATTTCTCTTTCCATAAAATAGTGATGTTACGACTTTTTAAATGTAGTTTCTTTGATAAAAAAATAAATTCAGTGTTCAGAAATACACATTTGTTCCACACAATAGACATACAAGTAAGTGTAGAGAGCAAACATTGGTATAGCATGACAGGGCAGTTTACGGAAGATCGCAATTTTTCCACACAACAGATAATGCACTTCAACATAAACAAGTGCACAGTTGAACCACAGCAACGAAAAAACAACAACTCTTAAATGCTTGCTTTTACTTAGTATCAGTCACACATTATAATCAGATAACCCATATATTTATACCATCCAATAAATTGTAATCACTGTAGGCACTAATTGAGAAAGCACAAACATTTCTGAACACGAAATTTTGTTTTTCAGATATAGAACATTACTAAAATGTATATATTGTTATGATGTACGAATTCCCATTTTTTCAAGATTTTCCCAATCAAGTTTGCATTAATTTTCAAAATGAGTCGCTTTAGTATTGCAAATTTGATCTAAAATATATAGCGGTCCGATCATTGGCATTTGATATAAATCAGAACGTTCAAATTTAAGAGGTTTCTATTTAATTTTTCGACCATTCTTCAAGTTAGAGTTAGTCAAGGAGAATATCCACTTGCCTTGTCACATGCAGTACCGACTTGGTCATTGTAACTAATCCGCATCAATGAAATTCCTCAAAGATTTTTTGCACTAAGAAAATTTGATAGAAAAAGTCGACGTAAAAGAAAAGTCAAAGTGAAAGGAAGAGAATTAGTGAGGAATTTGAAAGTGTAAAAACATGATCTCACACCATTGTATATCCTTTTATATTGGCACATAAACAAACTGAACTATAACATTACTTTTTAAAGGCGACAAACTTATGCTCCTTTCTGTCCACGGCAAGAACTTTAAGGGGCGTGCCGCATCTGCTGGGCGTCACCGCAGGTCAGGCTTTCAAGGTGGATGTCTGGGGTGTTCCCAACTCCCCCACACGTTAGCATCGGGAACTCGGCTAGCCGGTGCACTACTCTCGCTGGTGTATGTCCGCAATGACGGCAGTTCGGATCCCGAAGAGGATGCAACCTATTAACGTAGCTTTAAGTAGAACAGTTTTCTGTTCTCATCTGGTGATTTCCTTTCCTGTTTGGGTATGGCATATACCATGTAAAGCTTCCTGCTCTTGTCCCATTTTCCCAAGTTTTTAAACCCTTCCTCCCGAAAATGTTCTTTTAATCTGAATTTGCCCCCCCCCCCCCAGCTGGGTCAAAGGTTGGTTTCGTTGTGACTGAGTAGACCTTTGCCTCTCTAGGAAGTCAGTTCTTTTATTTTGTTTGGGTATGGCATATACCATGTAAAGCTTCCTGCTCTTGTCCCATTTTCCCAAGTTTTTAAACCATTCCTCCCGAAAATGTTCTTTTAATCTGAATTTGCCCCCCCCCCCCCAGCTGGGTCAAAGGTTGGTTTCGTTGTGACTGAGTAGACCTTTGCCTCTCTAGGAAGTCAGTTCTTTTATTTTAAAGTAGTCACCAGGGTCCAGGGATCAACTGAAGGAACACTCTGATTCCCTGTGACTTTATCATTTGAGTTACGTTAACACTGGTCATTGTCATGACTATCGAGCCCCTACTCACAGTTCCTATTGTCAGCTACGAGTCGGTAAACGCTGTATTGGGATGAAATGGTTTTCTTTCAACTAATCGATGGCGGACCTGTTTCGGGGCCATAAGTATAGCTCAGTATATATTTTCAGTATAGCACATAAGTATAGCTTCGCATTCTGCATGAAAACTTGTGCCATGCTTTCCAATCGACTCCGAAATATCCTATGCCGGAGGTATCTCCTTTGTGTACTGGATGAATGAATGCACCCTAACCGACCTTTTATCATCGGTGAAACAAAACCGCCTTTTACCACATACTCCTCTTTTCGCTTCAATCGTCCACAAGGCGGCCTCTTTTTCAAAATCGAGATGACCCGACTTTATAATTGCAACATTAGACAGTACATTTGGAGGTTCAAAGCTTTCGGGTTGTAATCGATCCTTGATCAACCACCAATTTTCCTTGTTTTGCGGTAAAGGGTGACTTCTTTCAGGGTCTTGTACCGCATCCACAAAGGAGTGTCTTTTTAGCCTTGTCCTCTTTACCTAAAAAAAACAACAACCCAACACCATGGTTCTGTTTTCTCCATAGGACGGTATCATTTGACCATCGTTAGGAAAGCTTTGTCCCTTCTGATGCTGAGTGGTTCTACGTCTGACAGAATTTCTGCGGCAGCCGTGGGTGTAGGGAGTAACGCCCCGCACGCGAGCACGAGAGTTATCTTCTGTATGTGGACCAGAGCCTCTAAAGCCGCGAGGCTCGCAAACACCCGGAGAGGAAGGCTGTAATCAATAGTCCCCCTTACACTCCCATGATATAGATTTCTTAGGAATTCTTCCAGAATTTGCGGGCAAGTCCTACAACAGGTTCTTGAATAGGGAAACCTACAAATTGCTCATGTCATAGTTAGCTTTTTTTTATTATATTGTTCTGCTATTTACTCTAGTAAACGGAGATAATAGGCACAAAAATATACCCATTGTGTAAAACTATTCAATCACAGAATCAACACACTTCCACGCTGCGAAGCACGAGGATTTTGAATAGAACATTAAATATGCTAAGAAAAAAGCCCGAAATCTTCGTTTGTTAAGTGGCCGGCCAACGTGCCCAATGGCCAAAGCCGCTGTAAACTGACAGGCCAAAATCCGATATTTTCTTGATTTTAAAATTTTTGAATGGTCACTTTGCAAAATGGCAAGATTCGATCATCCACGTTCCTAGTGATTTTATTCAGCTCTAACGGATTCGAGTATTGAGCAGTTTCTCTTGCAGAATCGAAACGCAAGTTACTTCAAGAATGTTACTACCGTCGCATCTAGAGAAGTACACATGAGAAACACAGCGTTAATTGAAAATTTTTAAATAAAAGAAATATTCATATTAAACAAACAAGAGCTTAAATATGAACAAAATAAACGAATGTAATGTGTTTATTATTTTTTACTAAAAACACATACAGTTATGACGGCTGTGTTGCTATGATCAATTTTCTTTCCATTTCTTCCAGCTAGCTTCTTTATTGAAAATCAACAACAGCATCAAACAAACACAACAACATGATCAACAACTCAAGTTTTGTGTTGGACGATATCTTGATTACAGAAAATCGAACCAGTATGAATTGGGATCTCAAATTTGCATTTCTCTATGTAGTTGAACGTCACGTTGATTTCAAATTCAACTGTGTCATTACCATGATTGTAGGGCTTATCGGAATATTTACGAACACGTTCAACATTCTTGTTCTGTCTAAACAAAGGCTGCAAGAACAATCCAACATTGTATTTCTAGCCCTCTCTGTAGCTGATCTTCATTTTTCAATGACCGAAACAGTTTTAAACAGAATGGCACAGATCTCATCGCGGGCAGACGTTGTCACGGGATACAAATTGGCACATATCTCATCGCGGGCAGACGTTGTCACGGGATACAAATTGGCACAGATCTCATCGCGTGCAGACGTTGTCACGGGATACAAATTGGCACAGATCTCTTCGAGGGCAGACGTTGTCACGATTTACAAATTGGCACAGATCTCTTCGAGGGCAGACGTTGTCACGATTTACAAATTGGCACAGATCTCTCATCGCGGGCAGACGTTGTCACGGGATACAAATTGGCACAGATCTCTTCACGGGCAGACGTTGTCACGGGATACAACCTCTTCTCTGTCTACGCCGCTCATCTCAGTGGCGTAAGTTTAACCACGATGGTCACCATTACGTGGCTGGTGTCATTGGCGTAAGTTTAACCACGATGGTCACCATTACGTGGCTGGTGTCGGTTATATCGGTTGAGAGAATGGTTGCAGTGTGTTTCCCATTTCATGTTTCGTCAATATTCACTCCAAATAGAATGAAGCTTGTAATCCTACTGGTGTATGCATTTATTGGAGTAATGCTCATTCCTAAAATGGGGAGTTTTTATATCGATTGTGTATTTGAGGAACAGCTCAATACAACAGTTCTTGCGTATTTCGAAAGACCTTGGTTCGTGGACAATAACTGGTGGTTATTTTTTTACTACTTGAATTTTTTACCACCCGTTTCTTCAACTGTCCCAATGGTGACTATACTCGTTGGCACATTTCCGATTATTATACGGCTGAAAAAGACACAGAGAGTTCTAGGAATTGTGTCGACATCTGGAAAGAACCGCGTCAAGGAGATGAGATCTGTCAAAATATCATTGGTGATCTGTCTCTGTATGGCTTTCTCAATCTTGGTACCCAACGCGTGTCTTGACGCGTACTATGTGTTGGGTGGTGAAAGCTTTCATTTCATTATACTTCTGCTGATAAGAGATTTCACACAACTAGCTGTCCAAATTAACGCGTCAATGAACTTTTTTGTCTATGTCGCCATGAGCTCCAAATTCAGTAAAACTTACTTGAAACTCATTCGATGTAATAGTGCATAGCTTTAAACGCTGTCATTCGAGTTTTAAACTTGTGCAGCAACTGTTCCAATCCAAAAAATATCGTTAGATTGTAGTCTTGAAATACAAAAAAAAAGTAAATAAATAAAAATTGCGCTGCAACGTCACATTACCTTTATCGTTCGCATCAATGGAAGATCTGCTAACGTTTTAGTTTGTTAAAATTGTTCATGTTCATCGGTGATTTTACCGGCAGCGTCCTTTTGTGTCTCTGCGTATCAGACCTGATATGTCCATAAAGTGCAGAGGTTCTCAATTTGTTTCTGGTCACTGCTCCCTCTGGACCATTAAATCATCCTCACCAGCCCACCCCCATGTCAAGACCAATTATAAGAATTCCCATAATGCGTTTCACAACCGTCTCTGGTCAATAATTTAACAGTGAAGCGTAACCATTTTTATCAAAATACAAATAAACATTTATGCTTTTAGTAATATAATGCAATTATAATGAGATGACATTATTTTATAAATTAAACAGTGGGATAATTATTTAGCAAGAATTTTAGATATAAAAATTAAATTCATCACTGATCAATTATTCTCATGATGATTGATTTGCGTGCTTAGAGCAGCAAAAGTTGCACATGTTTTTAACGTCATTGTTTAAAGTCATGTAACAGAATCTTTGTCGACTAATTCATTTTTATAACTGATATCTCTTTGACTTAAAAAAGCAGGTAACAAAATATATAACACATATATAACCTGCCACAAAATACAATGATAAGAATGCAACACGGTGCATTGCACGGTAGAGAATACGATGCCAGATTGTATACACAAGGTAAAATAGCTTTGTGACGCTTTTTTTCAACTTTGTTTATGAAAATAATTTTTTCCGAATATGCCCCCTTGTCAACTTAAGTAACTGCATTAATCATAAAAAATGGATTTGCAAACCAACGCTTTGACTTTGATCAAAATAATATATTCGAATTGATTTCAGCTTGAAAATCATCTTTTTCTTCAGATACAGATGGTCTAGTGCAGCGGTCGCATGCGGCTCTTTAGCTGCCTGAGTGCGGCTCGGCCAGTCGGAAAAAAAAATCGGTTCTGACTCCGAAATACATGGTTCTTGGCAGGTTCATGAAAAGAAACTTAGCTCTCAAATTTTTCTAAAATCGTCCTACTGCTGATTTTTGGCTCTTTTGACTCATGAGTTTGCCGACCACTGGGCTACTACATCGGAACTGCTTGACTTCGCCCTATATTGAGCTTCAATGGAGCATTGTTATAATTGTGATTTTAAAGTAAGGAACTCAGTTTTTAATTTTTAAACGCTGGTTTCATTACATTGCAGTTACAAATTGTTGATACGAAATGTTGTGGGCGATGTATTTGGATATAGCACTATGAGACTGGGAGTTTCACAAATACTAGTTTTTGCCCATTCTGTCACTCAAAATACACTTAGAATCATCTAGGCTTACAAAAATTTGAAAGCATCCCGACAGTTTATTTTGGTTCCCTTGTATTTTAACATACAAAATTACATAATAGTTTTGTGTGACTGCGCTATTATAGGTGTTCACCACAGATAATGTTAATAAAGGGAGAAATTGAAATCAGGTTAGCCCAATAGGAAATGAGTCCAACAAAGTAAGGTCAAAACTTAACAAAGTAATGCAACAAAACAACAAGCGTGTTGGCAGGAAACCTACGTCAGCGAACAAATAACAGGAAAAAAACAGAATTAAATAATATCACTTAGCTGAAAAGTAGTATTCGAGACTTGAGAGGGCAGCAAAAGAATTGCACAAGCTTAATTCATAACAATAACACTCCAAAAATTGACAAACTCTTGTAATTTCCTATTACCAGCACAGGTAAAAAAAAGAAGCTTTGTAATAATTGTCAGCGATAAATATGGCGTTGATCTATGTATAAAAAAATAATTTAAAACTTCGAAAACGCCTGATTAATAAAAAAAAAATCATTAATAAAAATTAAAAAAAACAACAAAACTTAACGCAAATGTGTCTTATCCCTTTTAATTTAAAGGGATGATACATTTAAAGGTCACACTGAACTGAAAAAAAAAAAACAACAACAACAACAACAACAATAGACAGGCCAAATTTTAGATTCACCAATGTTGTCCTCCGTACTGCGTTACCTCCTTGAGTATTCGCCTGTTGTAAGTCACTATAGAAAAAAAAGTAATTTGTTTTTTTTGAGATTGCCTCTCTGGGGGAGGGGGGTTGGGGGGGGGGTGCGGGGTGGGGGATGCATGACTGCTTTCACAGAATAACATTTCTTTTATAAAATAAGTCACTATAGAAAAAAAAGTAATTTGTTTTTTTTGAGATTGCCTCTCTGGGGGAGGGGGGTTGGGGGGGGGGTGCGGGGTGGGGGATGCATGACTGCTTTCACAGAATAACATTTCTTTTATCAAAGCTACCCATGTACTAGGGAAGGTATAAAAAAAAAAGCGTAATAAATTTTATGTTATTGGTTTAAATTTTGAAAACATATGTCATTATTACAATTGCATTAATAATACGTGGTTTGAACCGAGTTTCAAGAGACCATTTCCATGAATCCTGGTGTAGTTCCAAGATATTTAAAAATGAAACAGATTTTGCACCCTTATAACCGGTAGTAGTTTAATTGAAAACAGCTCGGCTGATATGGTCTCATAAGAGGACCGTCGCTATGCTGCTTGCTAGCTCAGCGCAAGGCCGGCGCCAGCCCGGAGGATGCGATGCCTCGGGGAGAGTGACGTTACATTTCTCGGCAGATGGAGCATAAAGACATTTAATGTCATTCTGGGTCTTACAGGTCACCACCCCCCCCCCCCCCCCCACAAAACAAAAACAAAAAAAAAAAAAAAAAAAAAAAAAAAGAAAAAAAAAGAAAAAGAAAAAAAAAAGCAACAAACAAATTCAGTTGAGTAGAATGTCTGAATCCGACAAGAGTTTGATCAAATTATCTTGAGTCATAATACGGAGTTTTTGAATTTTGTATAGAAAACCACACAATGTCAATGTACATTTGCTGTAAACATGTCATGAAGGTTTCCCAACGCCTGGTCTTGTATCATATTATTATAAAGGCGATGAATGTGGTCTCCAAACGTTAGGGGCGCAGGCATGGGCTTGTTATATTAATAATATTGATACTATTGGACGGTTGCCTCGGACGGTAGCCCCCGAACACCACCCCGCACCGACGGCCCTGCTCAGAGGATGTGGGCCGTAGTTCGTTCATATTTGACATTGAGGTTACACGATTGGCCTCATCGGGTGGTATTGCTGATCATGCGTGCCTTCGGGGTTCCCTTCCAATGAACCATCCATGAAATTTTAAAATGTAACTTGACACACTTTAAATGTATCGATCATATCCTTTGAGCGTCTTTTTTTTTATTGAAAGTGGAACAGGGACAACTGAGCTGAGTTCATTATCTCTTTCTAATTTTATTTTTATTTAAATTTGAAAATTGTAATCATATTATTTGACTTAAAAATAAGTTTAAATAAATGAAAACAAAAACGTTGGTTAATTACTGTAAAATAAAAACTAAAATTTTTAAAAAATACAACCTTTGATTGATGCCTTAAAAAACTATAAATAACGAGGCGCTGGGAGCCATGTGGGTAATTGAAAGACACAAACTGTACGTACAAGGAAGTGGAATGTAAATGAGACAAAACCGTTTCCTACTTTCTAATGAAGATGTATAATAAACGTTTATCATCAACTGTTTCTCTTATGAAGATGTATAATAAACGTTTATCATCAACTGTTTCTCTTATGAAGATGTATAATAAACGTTTATCATCAACTGTTTCTCTTATGAAGATGTATAATAAACGTTTATCATCAACTGTTTCTCTTATGAAGATGTATAATAAACGTTTATCATCAACTGTTTCTCTTATGAAGATGTATAATAAACGTTTATCATCAACTGTTTCTCTTATGAAGATGTATAATAAACGTTTATCATCAACTGTTTCTCTTATGAAGATGTATAATAAACGTTTATCATCAACTGTTTCTCTTATGAAGATGTATAATAAACGTTTATCATCAACTGTTTCTCTTATGAAGATGTATAATAAACGTTTATCATCAACTGTTTCTCTTATGAAGATGTATAATAAACGTTTATCATCAACTGTTTCTCTTATGAAGATGTATAATAAACGTTTATCATCAACTGTTTCTCTTATGAAGATGTATAATAAACGTTTATCATCAACTGTTTCTCTTATGAAGATGTATAATANCACCCCCCCCCCCCCCCTCACCCACTCACAGGGAAGGCCACCGCACTCGTTTTTTCCTCTACTTAAATATATTAATATTTTAATGTATTACCCCTTTTATATATTAGATTTATAAAATCATACTTAAATTATAATTATTTCCATAAAACAAGAGAAAATATTACGAACAAAACGCATTTGCTGTTTTTAAAGAATTGCCTTTAAAGCAGTTATCGGGAAAAAGTATTTGTCATGCTTTTGAACTTATCGCTTTTGAACTTTTCTTGATACCTAGAGAATTATGTTGATTTATCTTCTTTTCTTTGGGTAACTATGTATTACAAACAGTCCCAATAAATAGATTTAAATTTATAGATATTCAGATCAATCGCTTTATAGACTTGCTCATATTACCCACGTAGCGAATATATTAAGGTCCTGATGATAACTCTACCCCGCTGAGTTAATAATTTCTTTTTTAAGCGTCTTCTTACGTAACCAATCAACACCTAAATGTCGAATATTATTTTATGTGACTAGGAATTCACCGCATTGTAACTCGTAATAGCTGGGATCGATTAAATGTTCTACTAATACACCTGTAGCAACCTTGAGATATAGATTTAAAAAAAAAAAATTAATGTTCTTCTTTAAAGCCCGTTATAGCAATAGCTATAGTAGGAATGCCGATAAAATGTGTACTAGATATTCATTATGGAATATGATCTCTATATAGAAGTTGTAAGTGGGGCGGGGTACTACCAT